CAGCGCATGTTAGCAATTTGGTCTCTAGTTCCTCTGCTCCTTTGGAATCCAGCTTGTACCTCTGGGAGTTCTCAATCCACATACTGCTGAAGCCTGCCTTGTAGGATTTTGATCATAACCTTGCTAGAGTGTGAAATGAGTGCAATTGTATGGTAGTTGGAGCATTCTTTGGCACTGCCCTTCTATGGGATTGAGATGTAGACTGCTCTTTTCCAGTCCTCTGGCCGCTGCTGTGTTTTCCTAACTTGCTAGCATATTGAGTGTAGCACCTAAACAGTGTCATCTTTTAAGATTTTAAATAGTTCAACTGGAATGCCATCACCTCCACTGGCCTTGTTATTAGCCATGATTTCTAAGGCAAACCTGACTTCACACTCCAGGATGTCTGGCTCAAGGTCAGCTACCACACTGGGTTGTCTAGGGCACTGGTTCTTAACCTTGGGTTACTCAGGAGTTTTGGACTGCAACTCCCAGAAGCCTTCACCACCAACTGTGCTGGCTGGGGTTTCTGGGAGTTGCAGTTCAAAAACATCCGAGTAACAAAGGTTAAGAACCACTGGTCTAGGGCATCCAGATCTTTCTGGTATAATTCCTCTGTGTATTCTTGCCACCTCTTCTTGATGTCTTCTGCTTCTGTTAGGTCCCTACCATTTTTGTACTTTATTATGTCCATCTTTGCACAAAATGTTCCTGTAATATCTCCCATTTTCCTGAATATATACCGGTTTTTCCATTTATATAATTTTCTTCTATATCTTTTCTTTGGGATGGTTTCTGTTGCTGCCTCCTATACAATGTTACGAGCCTCCATTCATAGTTCTTCAGGCACTCTGTCCACCAAATTTGGTTCCTTAAATCTGTTCTTCACTTCCACTGTGTATTCATAAGGGATTTGGTTTAGATTATACCTGAGTAGCCCAGTGGTTATTCCTACTTTCTTCAGTTTAAGCTTGAACTTTGGTATAAGAAGCTGATGATCGGAGCCACAATCAGCTCCAGGTCTTGTTTTTGCTGACTGTATAGAGCTTCTCCATCTTTGGCTGCAGAGAATGTAATCAATCTGATTTTGGTTTTGCCCATCTGGTGATGTCCATGTGTAGAGTCGCCTCTTGTGTTGTTGGAAAAGAGTGTTTGTGATGACCAGCTTGTTCTCTTGACAAAACTCTATTAGCCTTTGCCCTGCTTCATTTTGAACTCCAAGGCCAAATTTACTTGTTGTTCTTTTTATTTCTTGACTCCCTACTTTAGCATTCCAGTCCCCTATAATGAGAAGAACATTTTTCTTTGGTGTTAGTTCTAGGAGATATAGTAAGCCTTCATAAAATTGGTCAGTTTCAGTCTTATCAGCATTGGTGGTTGGTGCATAAACTTGGATGACTGTGATGTTGAAAGGTCTGCTTTGGATTTGTATTGAAATCATTCTATCATTTTTGAGGTTGTATCCCATTACAGCTTTTCCCACTCTTTTGTTTACTATGAGGGCTACTCCATTCCTTCTATGGGATGTTGCCCACAATAGTAGATATGATAATTGTCTGAATTGAATTCACCCATTACCATCCATTTTAGTTCGCTGACGCCCAGGATGTCAATGTTTATTCTTGTCATCTCCTGTTTGATCACATCCAGCTTACCATTTTCATAGATCTTACATTCCAGGTTCCTATGCAGTATTTTTCTTTGCAGCATTGGACTTTCACTTCACTTCCAGGCATGTCCGCAACTGGGCATCCTTTCGGCTTTGGCCCAACCACTTCATTAGCTCTGGAGCTACTTGTACTTGTCCTTCACTCTTCCTTAGTAGCATGTTGGACGCCTTCTGACCTGAGGGGCTCATCTTCCAGTGTCATATCTTTTAGCCTTTTGTTTCTATCCATGGAGTTTTCTTGGCAACGTTACTGGAGTGGCTTGCCAGTTCCTGCTCCAGACGGATCGTGTTTAGTCAGAACTCTCCACTATGACCTGTCCGTCTTGGGTGTCCCTGCATGGCATAGCCCATAGCTTCTCTGAATTACGCATACCCTTTCGCCATGACAAGGCAGCAATCTGTGAAGGGGGGGTAATTGGAATAGTTGTCATATTTTGACTTTTATGCATGTGTGCATATAGTCTCTACTTCCTATTAGTCCATTTTTCTGGTATTTCATCCAACCAAATCACTATTTATATTTTACTTTCAACTGCATTTTTACTATGAGTCCAGAGCACTCTGAGGCAAGATCAGGAATAGGTACATATTCCTTGCCTCAGGTACATGGGCATTTTAATGAACATATTACCACCCATGCAAGTTATTCTTTATTACCCTATCAACAGTTGGTCTTCTGTTCTTCAGTTTTGATTTTGCTTTAATTGTTAAATTGTTTTAAGATTTTTATTGTGTGTGTTTTTTTCAAAATAGTGAAACTGTGTTAGATCGGATGGGGTAGAGATATTTTTATAAGTAAATAAAATAAAGAGTGGATAATTTGCCATTTCACAAGCAGCAGCTGGTGGGGTTAATTCTGAGCTATTGATAACATATTATAGTATCACTTGTGGGCGGTAATTTACAGCCAACAGAAGTAATGCTCCCTGCTTTCAAGATAATGCAGGGCACAAAATTGCTGAGTAAAAGAGTCTCGTCCACAGTAGGCAAAGAATATTCTTCAGGAACACATCTGGTGCTGTGAGACTAAGGGTATTACAGGAACACAGAAGTGTCCCTCTTTATATCTCTGAAACATATGATATATTGCTGTTACTTCCTACCAAGTCATGGCTAGAAGACAGCAGTTTTCAACAGGCTAAGATCTGTTGCTAGTCTAAATGTTCTTACTAAATGTTATTATCAATAGCAGGGATAGGGAACATCTGGTCCTCCAGAATCCCAGAACCCTGTTCCATTATGAACAGCAGTAAGGGCTTATGAGAACTCTCATCCGAAACATCTGGGAGGTCAGATTACTAGGTAGCTCTCCTACAGAGAAGCACCTATTCTTCTCTTTGACCACCTAGAGCCATCAAAAAACAGCAGTTGGAAACACTGTCAACAATGATGCAGCACCAGCATCTAAGGCCTGGGCTGAAAGGTGCCTAAACATTCTTTGTCATTGTTTAGGGAATCAGCTGCATTTAATACGTTTTGTCAGACAGAAGATATCTGTTAAAGAAGCAATCAAATAAATGATAAAGCAAGACATTAGTAACAGCAGTTCTCTTTTTGGCTTTAAGTTGTTAGGTGCAAGCACCCCTCTCCTGCAAGCCTGTTTAGGTCAGAAATAGATGTTAGAGATGGATCATAATTAGAGCTGATAACATACGTACTAACTTTGGAGAGAGACTGCTGTGGCAGTTTCTCTGTATTGGAGAAATCAGACAAAAGGGGATCCCGTGTTTACATCCTAAAAGTGAGAGAATCTTATGCTGTGATACTTAGATGCCTTCATTTGTTTGGAATTTGCCTGTCAGGGGCATCTATAATGTCTGTATCTGACTTCAGTGTCAATTGTTTGAAAACTATTCTTCCTGAACTTCCATTATTTATAAGAAGAATTTTTCCAGTTTGGGGGCTTTCTGTTCTAGATTAAACAAAACTGAACCAAACCAAACCAAATGATTAATTCTTTCTCTTTCTCTCACATTTTATTGTTGCATCAATACAAAGGTTTCTTATGTTTCCAGTAGTGAGATATCTTCAATCTGCTGCCAGCATAAAACTTGACAAGTTTCTAGAAAATACCTGTCTTTATTCTTTATTAAATGCCCTTGGCAGTGGGTCAGAGATGACATTTTGTGAAGGAACATTTGATATAATTCCAGATAAAATTGACCAGGGGCCATCATACTACACATGCATTCATATACTGAGTTATATCCTCTGCAACAGTGTAAGAAGAAAGAGATTTTTGTACAATACAATTTTATTTAATAATAGTACTGTCTTTGTAGACACTTCCTTAAAGATTGCAGAGGTG